CCGGATTTAACGGTTGAAAGATGATTCCCATGTCTATGCAGTTCAAGTCAAGAACCAGACAGTTCTAGGCCTCGATTCATGGTCCAACTGGTTCGATCGGCTGTTCTAGTCCAGTTCGGATAACACTGTTTGGTAGGACATCTAATTGTTAGAACTTGTCACTCATTTACATGATGGTAGAAACACAATTGGTCTTAGTAAAAATTGGAACAAAGTCCTCTTTTTTAATTTATTTTGTCAACAAGGACAAACAATTTTTTTTAAGTCATTTAGAACATATAATTGCAATATATGAGATATGTGATTCACACTTGTCAACTGTATATTTTTAATGATAATAATACATTTTTTTATTAACTCATTTTTCTCTCTTTGGTCCATTATTCTCTCTCTCTCTCTTTCTATCTCTTGTACTATTGTTTCTCTCTCATTTCTTCCTTTAATTTCTCATTCCTCTCTCCTGCATCAATTTCTCTAGTATCTCTCTTCATTCAATTATTCTCTCTCCACTCTCTTCTCTTTCTCTTCCATCCTATTCTTTCTGTTTCCTTTGTTTTTTTTTGTTATAGAGTATCCAGATTTGCACCGACTACTCTCTCGAGTTCAGCGGCTAACAACTGTGGTTTGAGATAGTCCAAACCATGTTCTCACAGGGATAAGGGTGGTTAACCTTTAGAGAGTATGAAAAATTATTGAATCAAAGATCTCTGGATTACCAAAAAATAGACCCAACTATTGGATCACCACATATACATATATATGACTAATACTACCCCAACAAAATGGAAGTGGCATTGTCACTGCCTTGTGATAATGAAAAATATCACAGTCGTAAAGAATATCCTTTTTTTTATTAACTCTTTGTTCCTCTTTCTCTCCTCCATCTCTTTTGTCTCATTGTTTCTTTCTTGTCTTCCTTCATTTAATTTCTCTCTCCTCTCTTTCCTTCAATTTCGCTATCATCTCTCTCTGGTCTTTCTCTTTCGTCCTAATAACTCTCTTCATTTAATCTCTCTCCCATCTCTTCCTTTAATTTCTCTATCATCTTTCCCTTGTTTTCTCTTTCGTCTAGATTTATATATATATATATATATATGACTAATACTCTTCCAACACAATGGAAGTGACATTGTCACCACCTTGTGATAATGAAAAATATCACAGTGATAAAGAATAACCTTTTTTTGTTAACTCTTTGTTCCTCTTTCTCTCCTCCATCTCTTTTGTCTCATTGTTTCTTTCTCGTCTTTCTTCATTTAATTTCTCTCTTCTCTCTTTCATTCAATTTTACTGTCATCTCTCTGGTCTTTCTCTTTCGTCCTAATCTCTCTCTTCATTTAATTTATCTCTCTCATATCTTCTTGTAATTTCTCTGTCATCTTTCCCTTGTTTTCTCTTTCGTCTATATATATGTATATATACTATCCCAACACAATGGAAGTGGCATTGTCACTGCCGTGTGATAATGAAAAATATCACAGTGATAAAGAATACCCTTTTCTTTATTAACTCTTTGTTCCTCTTTCTCTACTCTATCTCTTTTGTCTCATTGTTTCTTTCTCGTCTTTTTTCATTTAATTTCTCTCTCCTCTTTTTCCTTCAATTTCGCTGTCATCTCTCTCTTGTCTTTCTCTTTCGTCCTAATCTCTCTTCATTTATTTTCTCTCTCCCATGTCTTCCTTCAATTTCTCTATCATATTTCCCTTGTCTTTCTCTTTCGTCATATTCTTTATCTCTATTCTCCTTCATTTATTATATACTAACAATGCATGACCTTCATTGCACCGCACGTGAATATATTTAAATAATAATATTTATGAAAAATTTAACTTATATTTAAAATTTTTGAATGTTAAATTATGTGTTGAATAATTAAATTTTATATTAATTATTGTTAAACATAATTATTGATCTTTTTTTATCCCTCTTTGAGTACCAAAGTTGTCATTTTTAGGTATTTTCCGACTTCTTTAATCATTTTCTTTTTTATTTATTGTGGAGTTTTATTGTAAGATTGTCATTCTTCAGTATTTGTAAACTATTTTTTGTATTATAATATTATGATATTATTGCATACAAAAAAAAATCAAATTTGATATATATTTGACATTAAAATTCAATCTGCCAACAACATGAATATAATAATAGAATATATGTTGGACCTTAATTTTTTATGTAAATAGATATAGATATAGATATAGAAACTGTATATATGTGTGTACTACTAATAAATGAGTCCATAAGCATTTAGAAGTCAAATCCAAAGAATAAAAGAGTCATTGTAAAATTGTTATTCTTGAGTATTTGTACATCTAATATATTATTCTGTTTTTAGTCAAATAGATTGATTAAATTGTAAACTATTGTTTGTAATATAATATTATGATATTGTTACATATAAAAAGAATCAAATATGATAGCAAAATTCAATCAGCTAACAACATGTATATAGTAATAGAATATAAATTGAACTTTATTTTTTATATAAATAGTTATAGATATAAAAACTGTATGTAAGCGTACTATTAGTAAATGTTTCCACAAGAATTTAGAAGTCAAATGCTGCTAATAAAAGAGTCCAAAAGAATTTAGAAGTCTAATATCTATAAAAAATCAAAAATCAAATGAAAGAAATACGTGGGTCGAATTAACTTTATAAAAATAAATTGAGATAAATTAAAAAATCAAAATTTTCACAGATGCTACATTTCTAATTATGAAATATCTATAATAAGGAGATTTAATTTTATTTGAATTTTAAAATGTGCATTATTCTCTCTTTCTCTCCTTTATCTTTTTTGTCTTAGTCTTTCAGTCTCCTCTCTCCTCATTCAATTTCTCTCTCTTATATAAATTTCTTCCACTCATTCTCTCTTCTCTTTCCTCTCTCCTCCATCCCATTCATTCTCTGTCCTATCTCTCTTGAAATACGAATTTTATGTACAAAAATAAAAAAAAACTAGTATGCCTTTTACTGTTCATTCTCCTTAATGTCCGATAAATGCACTCATTATCCTTATTGACCCAAAATTCTATCATAGTGCACTGACCACCAATTTTCCCTTGTTCTTAAGACTTCGTCACTTTTTGAGAAGTTAAGCCCTCGTATTTTTTCTACAAATTAAAAATTACCTTAATAATAATAATAACAACAATAATGAGTAATAATATCTTTTTTATACATTAATTATGTTAATATTTGATAAACAGTTACAAATAATTAATATTTTATTTATATAATACTAATTAAATATGTTAATTGTACATCATACAACCAAATTAAACATCAGAAGTAATGAAAAAAACAAGTCATCAAAACATGAAAACTCGTACATGCAACGAAAAAGTCAAGTCAATTTCCTTTGAATTAAAAACTTCGTGTTGACGGGTTGAACCCGAACATAACCTATTAATACTTCGTGTTGACGGGTCGTGTCATACGCGGGTCGTGTCAAAAAATTAGTCAATTCAAACTCATTTATTCATACCAAGTTATCGTGTCGTATCAAAAATTACCACCCCTACTTGTGGTCATGTTTATATCTAGACTTTCAACGATGGGTTGCCTTTTTTTTTTCTTTCCCCCATTTTCCGCCACTCTCTCATAACCAAACGGAGCCTTAGGAAAAAGCAAAAATCCAACTCACTTTACTCCACAATATTATCGTTCCTCTATGTAGTTGTTTTTTCGCTTTACTATAGATTCATTATACTAAATACAATTAATATTGTTCATTAATACCAATGCTTTTAAAAGGGTATATTATACTTTGATCCCCTCAACTATAACTTTTTTTTCACTTTGTCAAATGGGTAGTGAATTTTTCACATTGCCTTATCAACTACTTTGATTATTTCATATAATTTCAATCGCAAATATCAGTTATCTTTTTAGAAGAAAATTATTGACGTAACAGGACAAAGTAAAAAATTACATAGTTCGGGGCAAAATGAAATAAATTTCCGTTAAGTATGTAATATATGTTAATAATTGGAGAAATGTGAAACTAATCACATAGTTTAGGGTACAATGTGAAAAAATAATAGTTGAGGGAACAAAGTCAAAAAAGGTCATAATTAAGGGGGTCCAAATGTAATTTTACATATTTAAAAAAAATATAACTGCTCTGACCGTAATACTAGTGATCTGACAGACGATTAGTCCCAATGATGTCAAAAATGAGTTTATTAGCTGCTCTTCTTCATGTGTTTTGTCATCTGAAAGACATCATACAAGCCTTTGCATAATTGTGCAAGCTTTCTTAACGACTTCGGCTTATGGGCCTGTAACCTTATGAATTCCATTTATCTTCTAGCTTTAGGCCAAAGCATAAATAATGTATCACATTGTCGTTCGTGTCATTTATCCGAGCCTACGCTTCCCCTAAAAACTTCTTAAATGTGACATATTCGTCAATAATGATAATGTTGATATTCTTAATCCACCACGGTAACTCAAATATTACAAGATCTCAAGAGTTACTAAGTTGAGATTTTACATTTGAGTTTTGCTAGAGATGCCTTGAGTGATGTCATGCAAGTGATTTGCAGGAGATTATGCATATCTTGAGTTTGTGTTGTGGTCAAGAATATGCAAAGTATATTAGTTAATTAAGTGGTTTCTGTCAAAGCAAACAAAATTAGATAGTCTAAATCAGAACAAGTTCTTGGGCACGTAGATAGAGAAACATTAGGTTGAATAAAATGGTAAGCAGAGGTACTTGAATCCAAAAAACAAAAGACAATTCCTTACAAGGCAACATAATCAGGTAATAAAAGTATAGAAGTTAATCAAATCATTTCTATCAAAACAAACAAAATCGGATGGTCAGAATCAGAATAATTTCTTGGGCACGTAGATGGAGCAACATCATGTAACATATATTAATACACTAAGCAAACTGGCACAATTCATTTCTATATAAAGCTCTAGAGAAATGGTAGAGCTCATAGTCCTCTAAACTCATTCTACATCATTGATCTTGAGTGAAAGCAGCACCATGGCTTCCAAATTTCTCTGTCAATGCACTTGTTTTGCTTTGGTCTTCATAATGGGGGCTTTGATTTCTCAAACGACATCTCGCTCTCTTCCAGAGGCATCGATGTATGAGAGGCATGAACAATGGATGACTCAATATGGACGTGTGTATAAAGATAGTGACGAGAGGGACAATCGTTTCAAAATATTCAAGGAAAATGTTGAGAGAATAGATTCATTTAATAAGGCTGCAAACAAGCCTTACAAGCTTGGTGTCAATCAATTTGCAGATCTCACAAATGAAGAGTTCGGAGCACACAATAGACTCATGAGGCGTGTTTGCTCCACGGAGGCAATCTCCTTCAAATATGAAAATGTGACTGCAGTGCCAACAACTATGGACTGGAGGAAGAAAGGAGCAGTAACACAGATCAAAGATCAGGGCCAATGTGGTAAGTGACAATCTTTTAGGAACAACCATTTTTATTTTGGTATTTTCTAACCCTTTTCCAATATCAAAATATAGGTTGTTGCTGGGCATTTTCTGCGGTGGCAGCTGTGGAAGGAATCACTAAATTAAAAACAGGTAAGCTAATATCTTTGTCCGAGCAAGAGCTGGTTGATTGCGACACCAGTGAAGATCAAGGTTGTGAGGGTGGTCTCATGGACAATGCTTTCACGTTCATCCAAAACAATCATGGCCTTACGACTGAAGCTAATTATCCCTATGAGGGAACTGATGGTACTTGCAGTGGCACCAAAGAAGCAAATCATGCAGCGAAGATAACAGGGTACGAGGATGTGCCTGCCAATAGTGAGAGTGCACTACTTAAAGCAGTTGCAAATCAACCAGTCTCTGTTGCCATTGATGCTGGGGAATCTGACTTTCAGTTCTACTCGAGTGGTATATTTACAGGGGAGTGTGGTACCGAACTAGACCATGGTGTTACTGCTGTTGGTTATGGCACCAGCGATGATGGGACCAAGTATTGGCTAGTGAAGAACTCATGGGGTACAAGTTGGGGTGAGGAAGGCTACATAAGAATGCAAAGAGATGTTGATGCAAAGGAAGGCCTGTGTGGTATTGCAATGCAAGCTTCATATCCCACTGCATAGAAGATCAACCCTAAAACATTATGGCCTATGTAAATAATTTCCATAGCTTATTGCTATGATTTCCACTCCAACTCTTGCTTATTCATATATGCAGCAAGAACTTGTGAATTTGTGATTCTTATGTAACAGGATATATAATATATTTAAAAGATATCGGTTTCAATTTAATAGCTTTGACTTCACTAGAAAGGCGCTACAACGCTCAAGCCCAGAAAATTCATGAATTGCAACCAATCATGCAAAGATTGGATGAATGGGTTGTCAAATAGAGACCCCCCAAAACATTTACACAATCCTTCTAATTGAGGGCCAGAAATGATAATGGTCTATCAATAAGAAAAACAAAACCCTCTTTGATTGGGCAACAATGGCCCTTAGATTAGTCACCGAAATTCAATAACAACTATGATTATCAATGGTTAAAAATCGTTGAATATCCAGTTTGATTCCTCTCCTTTCCAAGCCCCCCAAAACAAAAGGTTTCTAAATTTGTTGGCTGCAGAACTACTAAAGTCATCAAAACGATTTAATTTTAGTTGACCAGTTTTAATAGTATGTCTGGTTCAGTTTCTTCCTTTTTTCATATTTTTACTTATTTTATTTGGACATTATAGAATTTTGTTATGGGATGGCTTCATCACACTTCTTGAAATTTTTTTTTTTAAGTACCATTTGTTTTTGCATATTTTCATTGTCGGAACTTATTCCCTTCTCTTGTCATTAATATATTAATTACTTATTATTTGCATCCAGATCTCTTTTTCAAATATTAATTAATATACTTATATTTTTTAATAAAAAATTTATTTTACTTAAAAAAACTTTAATTATCAAACGAAATATTGTAGCATACCGACAAGAACTCACAAAGAAACTATCTATTGGACGAAGGCATGGACGGAGCCAATCATAGGCCAGAGGGAACACTGGCCCACCCTAAAAATATTTTTCTATTTATTACCTACATGTATGATAGATGTTTTATTTATGAGTTAACTCATTGGTGGTGCCCACCCATGAGTCTATGACCCAACAACACTTTGTGGTGCTAACAACCGTGATCCATGACAATTCTTTTTATTTATTCATATTATTCACATACACCTTTTAGATCACCACACAAACCAACGACACTATGAGACAGAATATGGAAACAAGGAGGAAGAACAATTGAAGCAACAACAATGTCAAGATGATAAGGGCGACTCTTCGGCAATTGCGACCCTATGGTAACTTTTTTAGAAAGAGATTACTTGTGAAGGACTATAATTAATCTCATTTTTTTTTTATGTAAAATGACATAATTAAATTTTTTTTGTTGTTTTTAATTACACCCAATACATATCGGCATTTGGCCATTTGTCTTTAGCAAAATTTTAGGAATTAAATATGATTTTCAAAATCTTCTTTTCTATCCTTTACTCTAGTCATTGGTTGGAGGGAAAAATATATAATTTTCAATTTAAGTGCCCACTCTCATATTTATTCCTGGCTCCGCCCGGCAGGCTGCATATGAGCCCTGAGATGCTGGGGAAAATTGGTGAAGGCCAAGACCTAGAAGGCAGAACTTACAACTTGCCTATTTACATAATTAAATGGGTAAATGATAGTTTACCTCCTTGTGGTTTGGTCTAGTTACGCATTGCCTCCTTTTGCTTTTAAAACCTACGCATAACCCCCTATACTTTAAGATTAAAGCAAAACCGTTAGATTTTCCGTCTAAATTGATGGAGAGTGTATCACACTAGTTTACATCTTGAACTCCTAATTAGCAGGGAAAAAAGAGTAATACTACACGGACCTATAGTGAAATCAAGGATTATAAGTCCACATAACATTATTTAGAAAAAAAAAAACCGTAAGTTACATTGTTAAGTTGTCATCGCTACACTATCATGTTATGAGCCTTCTCATTTCTAGAAGAAAATTGTAATACAGTGGTGGTAATTTTTTGATACATGCCTCCTCCAAATTGTAAGGGCTTCTTAATGACTTTGGCTTCTATGCTTGTAATCTTATGAATGCCATTTATCTTCTAGTTGTTAAACCAAACATAATTATGTATCACAATAACATTCCGTGTCATTAATCCAAGCCTACAATTCCTCAAAAAACTTCTTAAGTGTGACATTTTTGTCACATAATGATGATATCTGTATGTGTAACACGGCAAGATAGCTAGGATATTTTTTTATTCAGGGTAGTACAAATATGAAAAGGTCACAGAAGTTATTAACCAGAGTGACCATTCATTTTCGAATGTGACATACAACCTTTCACATGATTGAACAAAATTACATGGCGGAGGCATTTGAATCAAAACAGTAAAGACCAAATTCCCTACTAAACAACATAATTCAATTTAAGCTTTCACTGTACTTGTGAATATGGTTTATTATGAATGACAAGTATGGAGGTTAATCTAATCATATATATATCTGTCATAATACAAAATTATACATCAGAACGATTTCTCGGGCACGTAGTGAGCAACATATCAAAAACATAACCCAATATGAGTAGGCAAACTGACAGAATCCAGTTCTATATAAAGGTCCAGTGCAATGGTGTAGTTCATAGCCATATACTCTCATTCTAAATCTGAAATCTCAAGTGCCAGTAGCACCATGGCTTCCAAATTTCTTTACCAATGCACTTGTTTCGCTTTGGTCTTCATTATGGGGGCTTTGGCTTCTCAAGCAACATCTCGCTCTCTTCAAGAAACTTCAATGTATGAGAGACACGAGCAGTGGATGGCTAAATTTGGACGTGTCTACAAAGATAGTGATGAGAGAGACAATCGCTTCAAAATATTCAAGGAAAATGTAGAAACAATAGAATCATTTAACAAAGCTGCGAATAAGCCTTACAAGCTTGGTGTCAACCAATTTGCAGACCTTACAAAGGAAGAGTTCAAAGCACGGAACAAACTCAAAAGGCGTGTTTGCTCTACGGAGGCAATTTCCTTCATGTACGAAAATGTGACTGCGTTACCAGCTACAATGGACTGGAGAAAAAAAGGAGCTGTAACACCTATCAAGGACCAAGGCCAATGTGGTAAGTGACAATCTTTTAGGAAATGAAAATTTTTATCCTGGTATTTTCTGACTCTTATACAATATGAAAATATAGGATCTTGTTGGGCATTTTCGGCTGTGGCGGCTACAGAAGGAATTACTAAACTTAAAACAGGTAAGCTAATATCTTTGTCTGAGCAAGAGTTGGTCGACTGTGACACTAGTGAAGATCAAGGCTGTGAGGGTGGTCTCATGGACGATGCTTTCACATTCATCCAAAAAAATCATGGCCTTACTACCGAAGCTAATTATCCCTACGAGGGAACTGATGGAACTTGCAGCACCACCAAAGAAGCAAACCATGCAGCCAAGATAACCGGGTACCAAGATGTACCTGTCAATAGTGAGGGTGCACTGTTGAAAGCTGTTGCAAATCAACCAGTCTCGGTTGCCATTGATGCTGGAGAATCAGATTTTCAGTTCTACTCGAGTGGTGTCTTTACGGGGGAGTGTGGCACTGAGCTAGACCATGGTGTTGCTGCTGTTGGTTATGGCACTGGTGAAGATGGAACTAAATATTGGCTAGTGAAGAACTCGTGGGGCACAAGTTGGGGTGAAGAAGGATACATAAGAATGCAAAGAGATGTCAAAGCTGTGGAAGGCCTATGTGGTATTGCAATGCAAGCTTCGTATCCAACTGCATAGAGATTCAAAGTTCAAATCCTAAAACATGATTGCCCCTGTAAATAATTCCATAGCTTATTGCTATGGTTTGCGGTCCAACTCTTTCTTGTTCATATTTGTGGCAAGAACTTGTGTGTTTTTCGGTTTGAATCAGTTGGTAATATACACTATAATGAAAAGATATCAGTTGCATTTTAAAAACACTGATTTCGATGGAAGGCATTCAAAAAATTCTTCTTCGGAAGGTCAAGTCAAGAAATTTATTGAGTTTTAACCAAAGATTGGGTCAATTGGTCTACCAAATAATCGCTCCAAAACGGTGACATAACCCTTATTAGTGACCGCAAGAAAAAGCAATGCTGAATTCAAAAAGAGAAATATTAATTGGTCACCAAGGACCCTTAAACTGGTCAAGTGGGAAGGATCTCGTTATCAATGATTTAGATTTCCTCAATGTGTGACACAAACATTCATTTTCCCAAACGAAAGAAAAGTTTTAACTAATAATGAATGCAATTACATATACAAAACTAGCATTACCCCAATGTGATGCAAGAAATACCCGTTCCACCATATCCAATTGGAACATTAAGAAAAACTATTCCTCAAATCCTCTCACCTCATTTAATTTTTGTATTATGAAACCGTTTCTATTTTTTTTATTCTTAAAATAATTACAATAAGTAATTGCATTGATAATAATGGTGGGAATGGTTACATGAATAAGTTAGAGTTATTTAATTTGGGGAAATTATTTTTCACAATTAAATTAATCAATATTCACGATATCGCAAGTGTCGTGAAGAGGTGGCAATGAAGCCGTGTTCGTACTATGCCATTTCGAATTCGTATTGAGTACTAGTCAATTATAATTTAACTTACTTAATTAATCGTGATTGATGTCTTAACACTAATTCAACGTCTTTATTATCATATTATATTTGAATTGACCCGTATAACTTATGAATAAAAAATTGAAGACTAAAACTCCCTTATTTTCCCACTAAACTCACTACTTATAGTTTTTTCAACAACTAAAGATCCACTCATTACATAAAATAACATACGCTAGAAAAATTTCTCTCGTTCTATTAATTTTCATGATAATCTCTAAAAAAAATGACAAAAATCAAGCATTTTATTCTTACAATATTAATTAAAAGTTTTTATTGCACTCAATTCGGGATATTTGTATTTGACACTAACCCAACCCATTTATTATTTATATTATTATATCGTATCATTTTTGGGTTCGTGTCGAAAAACAACTAACACTAACCCGCTAGCTTTGGATTTCTG